AGGACACACCCCAGGCTCGGCCCAGTTGTTGGAGGAGCCAGGGAAGACTTGCCAATGTCCCGGTGGGAACAGGAGGGAGCAAAAGGGTTCGTTTTCTCCTCCTGGAAAAACACCCAGGAGCTCCGTCTGCAAGAGCCGGTGTCCGAGCAGAGACACAGGCTCCTCGGCAGCCGCTGGGGGGGGGGGGGCGGCCCCCGCCCCACCCCCCCCCCGCCAAAAGGGCTGGTGGCAGCTCCTGGCCCGACCCCATCTGGCTGTACCAGCCTTCCCACGTGCCTGCCTTCAGGACAGGGACTTCTCTATTTAAAAGAAAAGGTTTCCTGGCAGGTCCTCGTTCTTCCATCTCAGGGGCAGTTTTTAAAGGGAGAACTGGAGGGGCCCACAGGTGCTGAGCAGGCAGCACCCAGCCTGCGGGCAAATTTTGGATGAAGATGAGCCCTGAGATGTGCAATCAGGACTCCTGGGAAGTGGGGCACGGGGCCAACCTGGGCCAGGCGGGCGCGTGCACGGCTGTGGCCTGGCTTAGGGGTGCTTTTGGGGTAATACTGGCTCTGCAAGAGCTGCTGGCCCTATTTACACAACCTGTGCCTGATCCCTTAAGCCAGATAAGTGTCACAGCTGCAGAGCGGTGCTAAGGTTCAAGCTCCAGCACAGAAGGTCTCATGTCACTCCCCCTTCCAACTGCTCTTTGCCAAGGGCTGCCCTGGGGAGCCGGGCCGGGCCAGGTGCTTCGCTGCCGCGGGCGGAGGCGTTACCACTGCCCCGCTCACTGCCGCTTGCCGTTGCAATAAGGAAGCAGGGGCCTCGAGGCCAGGAGAGGTGCAAGCAGGTCCTGCCCTGTGCCCACGCTGCCTGGAGGAGCGTGGAGGGCCAAGGCACAAAATGGGGGCTGGAGGCAGGAGCTGCCTGTGCCTCACAAGGACCAGGCAGGGTAGGGACAGGGCTGGGAGGGGAGAGGAACGTAGTGGCCACCAGCCAGTCCTTCCGCCTTGCACTGGCACCAGCTTCTCAGCCTGGCACAGCTCAGAGGCAGGTCAGGAAAGCAAGGAGCAGGTTTTCCTCCCCATCCTGGTGCCGGCAGAGACTGCGCATAGTGAAGGAGCGGAGTGGGGAAGGAGGCAGCTCCAAACACATGCGGCTGCTGTGATCCCTGCACCAAACACCGTGCAGTTAGAGAGCGGCGCTGTGCTGCATTGCAGACTGAGAGCCCTGCTCGTGCAGAAAGCTGTGTGCTGAGGGCCGCTGCTGGGGGCTCAGATGTGCTGGGTTGAGCCACAGAAACGAGGGGATGGAAATGGAGTGAGTTCGAAAAATGACGAAGGGTGGATGTTATTTATTCACCTCCCAAGAGGGTTGTATTTTCAAGCTTTCTGAACAGCAGGGCCACAGACATCAGGTCTTCACTGAGCGAGGATGGTGAGGGAAAAACACCGGGACCTGTGAGACCTGCTGGCTGGCGTGAGAAAGGCAGGCACTCTGCCCATGTCCTGCTCCTGCCTGGGGAGAGCTGGCCTGTCCCTGCTAAGCCTGGACACACAAGTGTCCCCTTGCGCACACAGAACACCGGCTGTGTCCTTCTTGTGGCTAGGGGCAGGGGCCAAGCTGCCTGTGCTGCAGAGGCATTGCTGTGGCAGGATCAGTGGCTGGGGAAAAACAGCAGGTCAGAACGCTGATGCTGAAAACAAGGGCAGGGCTGGGGGAACAGCCAGGCACTATCTGTGGGAAGGAGGGGGCTGAGGTGAGTCTGGAGGAGGGGATGAAATCAAGGTAGGGGATGTGGCTGAGAAGCTCTAAAATTAGCTTCCTGGGAGGGTCTGTTCAGCTGGGAACGGTTTTGTGATGGTGCTGACACTTGAAAAGAGCCTGGACAGAGCCCCACGGGTGAGCCACAGCATCCTGCTCGGCAGGGGCGAGTCAACCCACCTGGGGATTTTGCTCCACTAGTCTTTAAGTTAAATAACAAGAGATACTGGCAACAGCCTTGAGGGATCTGAGCGGCACTCCATGGCCGCTTGTCAGAGGCACCGCAGTGCAAATGGCCATGCTGGAGGGGGGGGCCATGGGCACACACCCCCCCGAGGAGACATGGGCACGGATGTGCCTGCTGTCGGGTGGGGTCCCATACAAGGCACGGCGCCACGTTTGGACAGTCACGCTGGGGCTCCCCGCCAAAGCGTCTCCACACAAAGCCTGAGCCCCCTCCTCCCTGCGTAAACAAGCTGCATGCTCCGCTGGCTGCAGCA